GGGAGGGCTCGCATGGCACTGGCGACCCATTTCGGCACGTCCTTCACACGCTTCGTGGGCCACATCGGGAGCTTCACAGAAGGCCCTAGTGGGACGGCTCGCATGGCACCGCCGCTTCGTTTCGGCACACCCCTCACACGCTTCGTGGCGCCATAGGAATCTCCACCTGAGGCCCCAGTGGGAGGGCTCGCATTGCATCACCCCCCCATTTCGACACACCCTTCACCCGCATGGCGGCCCGTCTGATCTCGCCACACCCTTCACACGCTTCGTGGCCCTACGAGGGGGCTCTCCGAATGCGATGCCCACAACGACGGTACTCACGACTGTCTATGGTTGGGTCCCTCGCCAGAGTCCCAACCATCCTTTTTGTTGAGTTGGGCCCCCGCTATGAATCAGCAGCGCACTGCGTCTCCCGTCTCTTCGTTGCCCGCCTCCTCCCATCTCTTGCCTCTGCCCTCCGCATGCCTCTGTTTCGGCACACCTTTCACGCGCTTCGTGGCCCCACAGGGAGCTCCACCGAAGACCCCAGTGGCTGCGTTCGCATGCCGCCGCCACTCCACGTTGGCGCACCCCACACACGTTTCGTGGCCACATAGGGGGATCCACCCAAGGCCCCAGCGGCTGCGTTCGCATGCCGCCGCCACCGCATTTTGCCCCCGTAGGGATCTAGACCTGATGCCCCAGTGGCTGCGTTCGCATGCCGCCGCTACCCTACTTTGTTGCACCCTTCATGCGTTTCGTGGCCCAGTAAGGAGCTCCACCTGAGGCCTCAGTGTCTGCGTCTGCATGCCGCCGACACCCAACTTTGCCGCATCCATCACACGTTTCGTGGCCTCAGAAGGGAGCCCCTCCTGAGGCCCCAGTGGCTGCCTTCGCATGACGCCGACGCCCCACTTTGGCGCACACCTCCACTTTGGAGCACCCTCACACACGCTTCGTGGCCCCATAATGGGGCTCCACCCGATGCCCCAGTGGCGGCGTTTGCATGCCACCGCCACTCCAATGTGGCGTACCCCTCACATGTTTCGTGGCCACATACTGCGTTCGCATGCCGTCGACACCCCACTTTGGCGCACCCCCCACACGTCTCGTGGCCCCACAGGGAGCTCCACCTGAGGCCCGACTGGCAGGAATCATCCCATGCGTGACCGTGCCGATTTGGGCACCCCCCTCGCACGCTCCGCGGCCCCATCTGGAGCTCCGCCGAAGGCCCCAGTGGCGCAATCACATGGGCGACCATGCTCATTTTTGCACACCGCTCACCCGTGTCGCGGCCCCTTACGGAGCTCCTCCGAAGGCCCCATCGGCAGGAATCGCACGCGCGACCGCGCGCAGTTCGGCACGTGCCTCACACGTGGCGTGGCCTTCGTAGGAGCTCCACTGAAGGCCTCGCCGCCGACTGCTCCCCAGAGCGCGCCCTGCTGCTCCCCTATGGCCGGGCCGACAGACGCTCAGATCAGCCGTGACGGACTACATCCAGATGTAGCCCGTCGCGGCTGACCCTTGCGACCCCATCAGCAACGTTGCTCCGCCCTTCTCCCGCACGCCTTAGTGTCCTGCTGGCTTGCGGTGCTCGCAGCTGCATGCGGTTGGGTCCTTCGCCAGGGCGATCACCCGGGGTATGGGGCCAGCCGGCCCCCCCCAGGTCCGCAGGTGGAAGCGAAAAGGTTAGGATATCGGCCGGCGCCTCCCACCATCGGATAATTTAGGTTATCGCCGAAAAAGAACAAACGATGTCGGGATGAGGGGGATTGGGTGGCCAATCAGGGGGTGATGATCATCGGGGGTTGGATATCATTGCCAGGGCCAAGATATCTCCCCAGACTTCATGGCGCCCCTTGTTCTTTCAATACGTCCCTTTTGCGAATCCCCCTCTTGGACGCCCCCTGCTTGGACGCTCCCCCTAGGGGGGGTTCGATGACATTCATGGGAGCCTTCGGCGGCGATAGTTAGATCAGCTGATCCTGCATGTTTGGCCGCACTGAGCGTTCCCTCCTGCTACTCCACGCCCCTCCTGTTCCTCCTCCCCCTCCTCGCTCGTCTCGTCTCCCTATTGGGGGTGCTCATTCGGTTCAAATCGGGTCCCAAATGTGATCCAAGTTCGGTCCAATTACGCCTAAGTCGGACAGCGCGGCTCCCATCGAACGGACACCAAAGGGGGGGGGGGCTCAAGGTTGTAAAGCGTTGTGCTTGGTTCTCGGTGGTTTCTCCCAGCGTTGGGTTGCCTTCCAGCGGCTGCGCCTCGCCGAGAACGTCCTGTCCTGGACGGCCACCGCAGAGCCGAGTTATAACCCGGAAGCGAGAGCGCAACGATAGGAGGCAAGTTGAGAGAAGAACGCTAGTTGGATGCCACGGCTGGACGCAGCTCGGGAGACTGATGCAGTTGGATCCCAGGAAAGGAGCTGGGAGCGATTTTGAGCTGCCGTTGTCCCGACCCGCCTTGCTCCGAAAGGAGACCGCCATGAAGGAAGCGGTCCTGAGGGTAACGAGTCCCAAGTTGTCTCGCCTTCCTCGGGCTCTCGGGGCCTTCCCAGCGCCTCAGACCCTTGATAAAAGCCGCTCAGGATACAGAAGTGGGCGACTCGAGAAAGTCGGGCCGACTGCGCGGACATTCGCGCGTAAGTTGCCCGCGTAATCCCGCCGCGTAAGCGCCATCGATTCCAATGTGGAGTGTCGCGTTGGCGGTCCGCAGAAGTCAACGCGTAAAGTGCCGTCTCGCGTAAGACCTGTTTTCGGTCGTCGCTCAAGTGGTCCTGCGGGGGAAGGCAAACGTGGGTTATCAATGCCCCAAGTGGCGTTAGGGGGGTGATGCTTCCGCTAAGTGGGCGGAGCTCACTTCGCCCGGATTGCTAACCCCCTTAAGCCACTTGGGGCACAGCAGCTGCCCATTTATAAGCTAGGTTGGGCCAGATAAAACCCACCGTGGCATCCACCGATCACTCACCTGTCCACTTCGCAAGCCCCGCGCCCATCCCAGACCTCCGTCGTCGTGATCTCGTAGCGTCGATCCCCAGAGAGTTCTCGACCCATTCCCCAGGACTGTTTTTTCATCCTGAGTCGGTTTTTGACGGTTCCACGGTCCAGTACGGGCTCCCAGAGGCCGAACATACCAAAACAAATCCCGTCGTGTTTTTTTCGCGACTCGAGGGGGTCTGGGTAGGGCCTGGCACGAGTTGGCCATCGCCCTTGACGCTCTGGCTGCCACCCTCCTCTCGGAGCCTGGGATCCCAGAAGGCCCCGTGTTACCAGCCTGGAACCGATCCCTATCCCTATGTGTGGGCATCGCCTCGTCACGATGGCGCTCTTGGGGAGCCCCTCAGTTTCTGAGGGCGCATCCCTGAGATTGTCCTCGCCTCTTGGCGTGCCAACCTCGGGGAGAGGGATCAGCTCGAGGCCGGTTGCCGCGCAAGGCCCGGGCGCCCCTCCCCTCGGGGCCCGGAGGAGGAGGAGGAGGAGGAGGAGGAGGAGGAGGAGGAGGAGGAGGAGGAGGAGGAGGGGGAGGGGGAGGGGGAGGGGGAGGGGGAGGAGGAGGAGGAGGAGGAGGAGGAGGAGGAGGAGGAGGAGGAGAGGAGGAGCAGGAGGAGGAGGAGGAGGAGTCCCCATCCGTGCCTCCGAGGAGGCGTCGGCCCCGACCGCCGCCGCGGCGGCGGCCGGCACGGCGCCGCGCGCCGCGGAGGCGTCCGCCGCCGCTCCGCGGCCGGCCTCCGAGGCGCCGGCCGCCGCCGCCGCCGCGGGTGCCAGGCGGCTTGGGGCGGGGACGGTCGTCCGCGGGCTCGCCTGTGTGAGTGAGTGTTGTTAGGGGGCCACATGCGAACCCTACCCCTACCCCCCCACGATTTCTGAGGGGGAGGCTGGGGTTCACTTCGCTCGGGAGCTCCCAATCGAAGTGAACCCACCCTCCCCCTCTGAAGTCGTGGGGGATAGGGGCAGGGTTCGCATGTGGCCCCCTAGTTGTGGCAATCCGTCTCCCGCATGTCTCGGCTCCCGCGAGCCTCGTGCACGCCGTCGTGATCCAGTCTTCGGCGAGGCGTCGGCGTCGCATCGCGTCTGCAACGGGGATGAAGTAGCGCCGCACTGGCGGCGAGTGGCGTCGACGGACGCCGGTTTGGCGTCGACTAGCGTCGGTTCGCAAGCGCCAGCAAGATCCCCATGATCAGGAGGGAAAGAAACACACAGACACAATTCGTCGTCCACCCCCCGGAAAATATGACAAACTATGGGAAGTGGGGGGGGGAGACAACAACCCAGAAGATATGGGGAAATATGGGGAATCCTTTTCTTTGTGTGCATTGATTTGTGTGTCCCATGGCCCCCTTCACACGAGTTGCCACCGAAGGCCGGCGGCAGAGGCGGCGCCGGCCCCTGCCGCCGCGGGCACCGCGGAGGGGCTGCCGGGCGCGGGCGGCGGCGTGCCGGTGGCCGCGGGCCTGCGGCGGCGCGCGGGGCGGGCTGGAGCAGAAGCTGCCGCCGTCGCCCTCGTGTTGGCCGTGGGGTTCGTCGGCGCGCTCGCGCTCGCCCTCGTGGTCCTGATGCTGCTCGTGGTCGCGGCCTGCGCTCTGCTGCTCCACGTGGCCTTCGCCGCGGCCCTCGCGGTGGCGTTCGCGTGCGCCTTCCTCGCCCTGCTCCTGCGCCCGAGCGAGGCCGCGCCTGCCGGGCTGCCGCCGGAGGAGGGCCTCGCGGGCAGCTGGGGGCTGGACGGGGCCGAGGGGGACATGGACGGCATCGCCGCAGATCTGGGGATGTGGTGGGGGCAGCGCGCTGTGTGCTCCTCGATGGGCTGGGGAGCCGGCAGTCGGAGGAGGAGAAACGGCATGCGCGTGAACGCTCGAAGGTACGGGCGGCTTCCGTGGGTCGGCGCTGGGCCCACCGCCCCGGGCGCGCGGTGCGCGCCGGGGGCGGCGCCAGCGGCGCCGCCACGGGGGCTCGGCGCCGAGCCAAGGAACACCGCGCGGACCTCGGGAAGTTGATGTTTCTGCCGTGTTGGTTTCTGCTTCCAGGCAGGGTGACGCACTCCTTCGCCTTCGGCGACGGCCGTGTCACCGTCACCGCGGAAGGCCCTCTGGGGACCTTCGCTCAGGAGCTGCCGCTGGACGGCGCCCCCTGCGACACCGTGCAGCTGTGGGACGGCGCCTCGGTCAAGGCGGCGGCCCGCATCAGCGGCGACTGCCTCGTGGTGGCCACCGCCCTTGCCACGTTCAGGCGCAGGGTTCTGGACGGCAGGCTCGTCATGGAGGTGAGCACCAGGAGCGCCTCGGCCTCGCAGGTGTTCTCCCGCCGGAGCGGCGGCGTGCCCGAGAGCGAGGGGCGGGGCCACGCCGAAGGCGAGGCCACGCCGCCGCCGGAGAGCAGCCTCGTCGCCGCCGAGCCGCGCGGTGATCTTGGAGCGGCGACCCTGCTCACGTCGTCGGGAGCAGCACCGCGGGCCGCGAAGGCGATCCCCGCCGCAGGCGGGTCAGACCGATGAGCTCGACGAGGAGCCGGGCCTGACGGGGCATGCCCTCTCCAGTCTGGGTTTCCACTCTCCCCGCCGCGGCGCACGGGATCCAGATCAGGTGCACGTCTCGAGCCAGGTAGGTGTACACCTTCCATGCGTCGCTCACCATCTGCCACTGCTGTACATATCACCAAACAAGCGTTCTTAGCATTCCCATTCGTCAGTTTGACCACCGTGGCACTCGTTGTTCAAGCATGTATTAGGATGTCGTTCGCTGCCTCATCAAGTCAGCAAATGTTGTTTCCGCTCCATGATGGGCTGATTGACGTCCCTTTGTGGTTTAATGGTTCGGCAATTTTCGATGGTGCGCACCAGCCATATCAAGCGACTACGAGCGATGATGCTCGCACTGGCGCGCTGTTGAGGAACAAGATTGCATGCAACTGTTCACATGTCCCTCGATTTCCATCAGTGCGTCACTCCACGTACCTGGGCCCTCTAGAACTATGTGTGTGGTGGTCTCTCTTCGCTTCATGGCTGCTCTGGCTGCCAGCGCCGCCAGCCTGAGAAGGTTGTGCGGGGGCCCATTCCGGTCTTCCGACCCAGCCCCTGCGATTCTGTGGCGCCTCCGGGGTGGTCGCCCTCCCGCCTGGGCGGTCGCCTTCCTCCCTTGCTCCGCCTCCGCTCCTCATTCCTTTCCCCCGTCCCTTGGCCGCCAGGGCGTCCTTCTGGGCCCCTGGGCCAGGAGGAGGAGCAGGAAGAGGAGGAGCAGGAGGAGGAGGAGGAGGAGGAGGAGGAGGGAGGAGGAGGGAGGAGGAGGGAGGAGGAGGAGGAGGAGGAAGAGGAGGAGGAGGAGGCTGGGTGCTGCGTCGCTCGTCGCGGTGCACTTCGGCAGGGCCCTGGCCTCTGGACCGGCGCCGCACACGCGCGACAGAGCACGGGGGAGGCCTCAGCAGAGCCTCGCCTCCGTGGAGCCAGACTTATGTCGGGCGTGTCCCCCTACAGGGGGATCTTCGACGAAAAGTAAAAAATACTCCCAAAAATGCCCCCAAAAGGTCAAAGGATACCCCCAAAATAGTCCCCAGACTATTTTTTGATTATGTTTCTATTATTGTGGGGGTATGTTTTATTTTTCATCGGAAATCCCCCTGTAGGGGGACACGCCCGACATTAAGCATGAAGCCAGACCCTCTTGACGACGGCCGCCGACGGTCCTGTCCCAGCACAGGCATTTTGCTTTGCATCCCAGGGGATCATGGTTTTCCGTTCTGGTGGGACCTGCGCAGCCCCCGCGGCGGCAGCTCGCACCAGCCACCCAGCTCCCAGTACGCCGGTTCTCGATTCCTGAAGTACACGCCAATCACTGAAAGTAGGTACTCCAGATTTCGTAATCAAGGGCGGGGGGTCTCATTTCGGGGGGGTGTCTCTTCCAGGCTATCTTGGAGGGCCTGGGGGGGTCTGGGGACGATGTTTTGGAGGGTTCTCCCACGGGGGAGGTCTGAAATGGCTTGTCTTGGAGGGTCCAGACCCCTTCCCTTTTATTACGAAATCTGGGGTATGCTCTGAATTCCCAGATCCCAATCTACTTCTAGCGCCCTCCTGCTTCAGGAATCAGTGTGGTGGTGCTGCGCCGTGCTATGATCTCGGGCGGCCGGATCCCAATCCTCTGGAGGATGACGATTCGTAAATGACCGGGGGTCGTGTTCACGCGGCGGCGCCCGGGATGACGATTAGAAAAGACCGGCCGCGGGCTGGAAAATTGTTTTTTAACGTTCCCCTCCAGTCAGTAAATTATGCAGAAATAGCAGAACACGATTTGCTTTAATCGTTCTCTCCCATATTTTTATCAATCGTCATCCCGCATTACTTCATCCGCTTTCCTACTTCATGTTTTTCTGATCTCTTCCGGCCGACGTGCAGGGCCGATTGCGCACTCCTCGTGGCGAACGGCTCTCGACGCCCGAGGGCCCCCCTCGCGTGGCCCCTCCGCGGCCGCCCGCCTCGGCTCCCCGTGTCCATGCCGTTGCCAGCGGCCCGCCGGTTGTCGGGACGCGTTGGCGGTCGCATTCGCTGCTGACTGAAAACTTCGCATCGCTCGAACGTGTGCACTTTTCTCGGCGAAGACCCTCGAGGAACAGTCGGGATCATCTTGCGAAAAGTGAGCGCGCGGAGTCGAACGATGCACTGGGGATGGACGCCCGAGCGATGGCGAGAAAAGGGCTTGCGTGTGCTGTTCCAACGCTGCTGTCATCAACAAAATTTGATGGCAACTACCCTTGCGCAACCCGCCATTCTTTTCGCTGGGTTGGAGCAACCGGCTGGCCCGGACGGGCAGCAACGAGGTGACCGTGTGTGTGTGTGTGTTTTTGTGTGTGTGTGCTCGTGTGAATGTGTGTGTGTGTGTGTGTGTGTGTTGGTTTATGGTTGCCCGCGGCTGCGGGACCCAAAGTGGTCTCGGAGGGTTCGACACACCCCCACACAGGCAGCAATTCGTGGCACAGCATGGATATACCCCACGCAGCGAGGGAGGCAGGAGGCGGCAACGGCGCGGCAACGAGGCGACAACGGGTGGCAACGAGGCGGCAACGGGCGGCAGCGTGGCAAAGTCTCGGCATACCCACGCAGCGAACTTTGACGCCACGACGCAGTGACACGGCGGCAACTGGCGGCATGGTGGCAGATCCTCGCAAGACCCCCACGGGCGGCCACGGGCGGCAACGAGCGGCAGCGTGGCGAATACTCGACATACCTACACCTGGCGACAACGGGAGTCAACGGGCGGCAACGCTGCGAACCCGTAATTTGGTTCACCTTCGGCACGCCCACCGCGCACGAGGCGGCAACGAGGCGGCAACGGGCGGCAACGGGAGGCAACGGGCGGCCACGTGCCGAATCCCCGGCATACCCCCACGACGAACCGGGACGCAACGACTCGGCAACGAGTCAGCAACGGGTGGCAACGGGTGCGACGTCGCGAACCTTCTGCATGCACACGCTGCGCGCGTGGCGGCAACGGGCGACAACGTGGTGGCAGCGGGCGGCAACGCGGCGGATCGTCTGCAGTCCCCCGCAGGCGGCAAAGGGCTGCAACAGGCGGCGACGCTGCGAATCTTCGGCAAACTCCCAGCAGCGGCAACGGGCGGCAATGTGGCGGATCCTCGGCATACATCTACAGGCGGCAACTTGGCGAAGCCCCGGAAGCTGCGGCTGCTTCACCTTCCTCCCCGCATTGCTTGCTCGATGACTCCCTCATCCGATCTCATTTGTGCCGCATCCCCCTGGCCGAGGCTCGCCGTGGCCAGAAAGCATCGTCGTTCCGCATGTGTCGTTCCTCATGTCAGCACGGCAACTGCAAACATCAATCGTTGAAGGTCCGCGCTGATTTTTTGGATCTCCCTCTCTGAAGCGTGGAGCGCGGCAAGGGGCGGCGCCGGAAGGGCCGCCAGGGGGCTCCAGCGCCGATCCAAGGGATCCTCGCAGACCTTCGAAAGTCTGTGTTTGTGCGGCTGTCTGTTCCTCTCATGCTGCTACCTCTCCTCCTCCTCCTCCTCCTCCTCCTCCTCCTCCTCCTCTTCCTCCTCCTCCTCCTCCTCCTCCTCCTCCTCCTCCTCCTCTCCTCCTCCTCCTCCTCCTCCTCCTCCTCCTCCTCCTCCTCCTCGGCCCCGACCGCGGCGTCTCACCCCCCACCTCCCCCTGCCGCTCTGGCATGCCGCTGCCCGGGGCTCCGACGCCGTGCCGCGCACCTCTGCCGGGGCGGGCATGTGCAGCCAGAACCACCACCCAGGGGGGAGGAGGAGGAGAGGAGGAGGAGGAGGAGGAGGAGGAGGAGGGAGGAGGAGGAGGAGGAGGAGGAGGAGGAGGAGGAGGAGGAGGAGGAGGGAGGAGGAGGAGGAGGGGAGGAGGAGGAGGGGGAGGAGGAGGGGGAGGAGGAGGGGGAGGAGGAGGAGGAGGAGGGGGGGGGGACGGCGGCAGGCGGCGGACATGAAGGATTTCGGGCTGTGGCGGGCCCCGATATGTCCGTCTCTTCCGCCGGCCAACGTCCCCGAAGACGATTCCCCAGGCGGTGGTCGTGGATGAAGCCCCGCCTCGCACCCGTGCCCTCCCCCCGCCCGCGGAGAGAAGCGCCCGCTAAGAACACGGGCTGCACGGGAAGGCCGAGAAGAGCGGCGCGAGCCCGCTGCTCAGCCTCGCAGGTTTGGGGGAGGCCAAGAGGATCCGCGGCGAATTCACGAGTTGATCATCCCTGGAGGGCGAATATGAGCAAACCAAATGTGCTCGTCTGCTTGCAGCTACCTGCGGTCACGGCGCCTTGTTTGTCCAGTGAGCCTCGGTGGCCTGTCTGTTGTGACAGCCAGTGGTGGGGTTGACTGCCCGTGGGGGGATTCGCTCACGTGTGTGTTTGTGTGTGCGTGTTTGTGTGTGTGCGCGTGTGTTTGGGAGTTTGGAGGTTGGCAGAAGCCCCGCCCTGCCAAGTCGATTTGCGAAACACCCGTTGTCCGCTCTCGAGAGGGTGTTGCGGCCGCGATATCTGCAGGCCTGCGCCCGCTGGGCGTGGCGCCGGGTAGTTTTCAATCAAGGGTGTTTGGCTAGATGGGGTTTTGTCTACCCCCGACTGTTGTAGTGACAGACCGGTTAGGCCGATGGAGGGCAAGCCTGCGAGCCATCAGCATTGTGAGAAGCACGCGGCTGGCAGAGCGCTGGCCGGTGATTCCTTCTCGTGTGGGGGGGGTGTTCACGCAGAGCATGGAGAAATGATCAAATAGTCTTCTATGCTATGCTGCTATGCTATGCTATTATACGCTATGCTATGCTATGCTATGCTATTTTTTGTTTGGCGGAGAGTGCGACGGGAGCGTCGTAACCCAATCAGTCCAGGACGGAAGAAAACAGCAGAATCGTCGTAACGCCCTCTGTGTCTGTGCCGTGCAATGCTCAGCGACGCTGGAGGAAATGTCACGAGTTCGTCGTAACATTTCGGTGCCTTCATGTTTTCCGTAGTCGCGATGGCTCGAAAGCGCTCAGCAAGCGAGGCTACCCACGGGCTGAAGCAGAGTCCCGTGCGAGCCAGCCTTTTGGTCACAAGGTGTTCGCACTTTAGCACGAGGAGGAAAACATCGTCTTACGACTTGTATCATTTCACTCCGTGTAGCGTCGGCCATGGCATCTCCAGCGGACGCTGGCAATCCGATTCAAACTGGCCGTGCCGGTCGGGCACGTCGGGCTCTCACCCTGGAGCGAGGATTCCATGTCCACCGGTGCCTCAATCTTGAGCGGCCGCTGACGACAGCCGTTCGCCCAGGCGGCAGCGAGATTCGACGACAGGCGATGGGCAGGAGGCGCATGCACTTGGCGACGCACCCATCCCTAATCGCGACAACCAGTTCTCCGCGAGAGTACGTCGGAAACAATATGAGCATGCTTTCGGCCGAGAGTAAGTCGGTCATCAAAAAGCAGTCCATGGCGCTCCTTACGACCATCGAGGGCCTTCAGAAGGTAGTGGACCAGACCGAGCAGTACCGCATACATATGGGCAGCCTAGATACTGAAGTAGTTCCGTGCATCAGGCCGTTCTCTGTGACCTACGACACTCCGTGGCTGGACAAGTGCATGACGTCCGATACCACGGTTGTTATTTACTTGGCTAACAAAAGTATCGGGGCTGACAAAGAGAGCTGTGTGTGAAGTACACTTCGGCTCAGAAGAAACTCGACATGATTGCTCTTGAAGTGCAAAAGAAAGATCTTCGAGTACGGGCGAAGTGCGACGTTTTCGTGGAGAATTGCGTGGCTGATGAAAAATATCGGTCTTTTGTTTTCGAGTACTTGGGGCTCGAAAGCGAGCCGCATCTTGAAGTTCTTTACCACAGGTCGCGGCCTCAGCTGATGGTGCTCTTTTGCAAATTCATCGACCAAGCAGCTGCGAAAAACATGCCAAGGAAGACCGCGACCGCTGGGAACAAGAGAAGAGGAAGAGGGTCGCATAATCAGTCAGAACCAAGCCCCCATCCGAACTCCTGACCATGGTCATCGACGAGTGCATCGCGAAGGCCAAGAAGGGCGCACAAGACAAGAAGAGGAACGGCAAAGGGGAAGGACATGATGGCCGTGAAATCGGGTCCCGATTACGGCCTCGACGAAGGTGACGTCACACACCCCGCTGCCGGGGCCGCGGCCGAGGTCGGTCTGCCCATGGCAGAGAAAGAAGCAGTGGACCGAGAGACCCGAAAAGGCAAGGCAAGCGCCAACTCCCAAGGCAAGGACTCGAAGGGCAAAGGCTACGACCCCGCGCAGCAGCGACCCCAGGAGCAGCAGGACACGGAGTCGCGACCGTGGCAAGACGGGCCACGCCAATGGCGAAGGCAAGGGTGAAACCAAAGCACGCGGAGGCAGAAGGGGGGCGCTCGGCTGGTGAGCATCAAATATTTTGCAAAATGAGCCCACGCTCTCAGCCATGAGTCATTTCATCAGGCATGCCCCCTGCTTGTTCTCACCGCCAAACGATGGTAAGACCCTTTCTTGCACTCACGGCTTGTCTGTCTGCGCGACAGTGGATATCTCTAGTTGGGTGCAGACAGTGGTGGCTGTGAGTATGCATATTCGAATTTGTTGCAAAGACTTCCAGGGTGCTGGGCAAAATGAAGGTCGCGTGGACTGTAGAGTTTATCTTGCGCAATCGCAGAACGCGCATTTATAATTTCATCCTCCGTCCGGGTTTGGAGCCTATTTCAGATGCCTTCAAGGATGTTGTGAAGTCGATTGATTGGGGGGCGTTCTTTGGGGAGCATCCAAGAGATGAGGACACGTGGAAGCATATGCGTGTCAAGCCTCGCCGGGCTCGTGCATTTTATTGTGGCCCTAATCTGGTGGTCAACCACAGTATTCGGGACATGTACTCGAGGATCTGGAAGGCGGCAGTGTCTGCAAATATTCGCGTTGAGCCATCTCCCCAGGTGCCATGGCGGATTCGAACTGGCCACGACAGTATTCAGCGCGTGGCATGGGGGGGGTCCTGCCGACCCACTATGCTGGGGGCTTCACTTTTGTGCTCAAGGCAGATATGCGCGATGCTTTCCTTCGGGCGCTGGCCAGATGCAGCGCGTGCAAAAACACGCGGGAGTCGTTGACCCCATGGCGCCACTTGCCGGGCACCGCAGTGGAGGTAGCAACCTTCGACAGTGACGAACCCGATCAGTCCATGCACGAAGACTCGATGTCTGCGACCCACGAGACACCAGACAAGGTCGCGCATAATCTTGGAGCCACCGCAAAAACCACAAACCACAAGAGAGACGGTCGATCATAACGTTCCACTGCGTACATCATATCTCCTCTGATCCCGATGTTGCGACTGACAGCAAGCACGTTGAAACCGCATGTCGCTGGACTTCCGTACATCGTCAAATATTCAAGTGATTCTTTGCGGAAAAGAAATCGTAGCTTTCATGTCCCTCGTTCCAAATGGTCAATATCGATGTGAAGGAGTTCTTCGTGCCAGGCACCCACGGCGCTCTCATTCGACAGGCGCCGACGTTCTGCGATGGCGCGGAGCGGCTTTGTTTCAGAGACGCGTTGAAATTTGCTTTAGAGAACCAGTTCGTTAGGGTGTGTGACGCCGAGTGCGTCTACCAAGTCTTGCGGATCTGGGATGGGGGCGATCTGCTCCAGCGAAGTGCCCGGCGCTGCGCTGCGTCGTCTTGCTGAGCGGGGCGTCTTGAACAACGACGCGTGTATGGATTCAGTTGGACTTGTTGCTGTTTCTGGTAGGAGGATGACGTTTTCGCTGCTGTGGGCAGCCCCCGTCGGGATCTTCGGCGGTTCTGCGAGGGCTTGCCCAGAGCGGCTCTCCCGCTTGCGCTCGAAGCGGAGACCATCAGCTCAGAATGCGCGACGTTCTTGGACGTTGAATTCTCTGGGCCCAGGAACTGCCATGGGGCGGCTTTGGATTGCAGCGCGCGCGTCGAGCGGAGCTCGCAGTGGGCCCCTGTCGCCGGCGATTATCTCCGCCACCCTTCTGTTCGCGTGTCGCGGCCCAGAGCGACGGTCGGCAGGAGTGAGAGGCCTTCCAAAAATTCCCAAAGAGCTCAGAATCACATCTTTCAGTTTTTACCCTTATTGCAAAGGTCGGGGGCTGGCCAGTCGCTCATGGATTCCTCGACTGCACCAGTTGCTGCCAGGCCCCCGGTAATTCTCAGTGCGTTTATCGGATTCTGCTCGTTGTGCCAGCGGTGGCGCCGGAAAGGGCTCCAGCACGCTCCCCATCAGTGGAACAGCGTTGGGTCAGCTTCCTTAGGTTTTCGACTGCGCGCCAGCTGGAAGCTCAGCGAGTGCCACTTAAGCGCTCGCCTCGAGAGCTTCAGCTCTCGGGTCTCCATTGGAGCCGACTTCCAAGTCGTTCGTCTGAAGTTGGTTGGGGCTGGAAGGAGGCATGGTGCTACGTTATGCATGGGGGGGGGGGGGGTGCGGCGGGGGCGTCGTGGCCCCGTCAGCCCAGGACAGAAGTACACGGCAAGATCGTCGTGACGCCCTCTGTGTCAGCGCCGCGCAATGCTCAGAGGCGCTAGTGTAAATTTCACATTTTCGTCGTCGCATTTCCGTGCATTCATGTTTTCCGCAGTCGCAATGGCTCGATAGCGCGCAGCAAGCGAGGCTACCCACGGGCTAAAGCAGAGCCCCGTGCGAGCCAGCCTTCGGGCCACAAAGCGTTCGCACGTTTGCGCTGCGAGGGAAACGTCGTCCACCAGTCTCCGCCGCCGGCCAACGCCCCCGGAGACGATTCCCCAGGCGGCGGTCATGGACGAAGCCCCGCCTCGCACCCGCCCCCACTCCCCTCCCGCGGCCGCTAAGAACGCGGGCTGCGCGGGGGGGCCGAGGAGAGCGGCGCGAGCCCGCTGCTCAGCCTCGCAGATTCTGGGAAGGCCAAGCGGACCCGCGGCAAATTCACGTGTCGATCCTCACTCGGAGCGACGATGAGCAAACCAAATGTGCCCGTCTGCATGCAGCTGCCTGCGGTCACGGCGCCTTGTCTGTCCAGTGCGCCTCGGTGGCCTGTCTGTTGTGACAGCCAGTGGCGGGGGTGACTGCCCGCGGGAGGAATTGCTCGCGCGCGCGCGTTTGCGCGCGCGCGCGTGTGTTTTGGAGGTTGGCAGAAGCCCGCCCTGCCAAGGCGATGCGCGAATTGCCCGCCGCCCCTTCTCGAGAGGGCGTCGCGGCCGCGATGTCTGCAGGCCTGCGCCCGCCAGGCGTGGCAGAGCCGGCTGGTGATTTCCTTCTCGCGCGAGGGGGCGCTCGCGCAGGGCGCGGGGAGTTCGCCGCGCAGTCTCTCGGGGCGCCCCGCATGCCGTGAGAGAGCGAGCGAGAAGAGCGGCCGCGTGTGAACGCAGCGCGCGGACGCAGCCGCAGGCGAACGCAGCCGCACGCGACGTTGCACTGCGCGCCGTGCGATGCTGCAAACAAGGACACGTGCTAATGGCGATCGATCAGCCGCGCACCCGTTTTGGATTAATGTTTTCGCCGCCGCCGGGGCTCTGCGCGGGGGCGCAGGGCGGCGTCCTTGACGGGCCTGTTTCCACCGCCGCTACCACATGTAGGGCGGGGGGGAAGGGGGGGTGTGGAGATCTGCTTCTTCTTCTTCCTCCTCCTCCTCCTTCTCCTGACCCCCCTCCCCCCTCTCCACCTATCGCGGCGGCGGTTGAACATCGGCCCATCAATCCCGCCCCCCGCCCTGTCGCGACGGCCGCCAACGCGGCATTCGCGAGGTCGCGGGACATGGCTACGAAAGCGCGCGCAGGAGCTCCGCATCGCCCGCAGCGTTAAAAAAACAAACCAAGGGCAGCGCTCAATGGGGCGGGCACGGGCCGCGCGAAATGGCGAGATTCAGGAGGCGGACGATCGCGCCGACACATTGAATCCTCGACCCCCAGGGAAAGATGGGAGCATATGGGAAGTGGGGGAGCAAACGACAACCCAGCACATATGGGCAATGATGGGGGATCCTGGGACTTGCGTCTACTTGGTTGTGCGCCCTGGGGCCCCTTCAGGGATTGGGGCAGGGCGGGTCGCGACATGTGCTGCGCGCAGCTGGTCTGCGCCCCTTCCGCCCGGCCCGCTCCCCGACCCGCCTTTCGACAGATTCGCCGGGGAACTGTCTGGGGCGGAGCGGCGGCGGCTCGAGCGGACCAGATTCCCGGCGCAGACAGAGCCGGGCACTTCCTCCGCGGCCAAGTCCGTCAAGTTGGCGCAGCCCGAGGCGAGCGAGGCATCGCGCGGGCTCGACGAGGCGACGGCGGAGTTCGAGCGGAAGGAAAGGTCGGCGGCCGATGCTCTCGCGGCTGCTTTCCAGCAGAGGTAGCATGTCGAAGCGTGGAGAACGAGCTGCAGGCTGCAGGCCGCTGTGGCCAGGGCCAAGGATGACGCGCCCACGCAGGTGGCGGCCGCGGCGGAACCCCCACCCCCAGTTTGGGTCAACGACCCCAGCAGCGTCGCGCCCTGGTGCAAGCGGTGACGGACGACGTTGGGGGTCTTAAGTTGGGTGCCGCTGCGAGCCCACTCCAGTCTCCTCTCAGGTCTGTCATCGCGGCGCAGACGCATGCTTCGACTGCGGCCGAGTCTATGCCGTCGGCCGACCAGCACCAGAGGATGGCCATTCCTTTTGAGGGCTAGCGCGCTGGTGAGGGCGGCGGAAATATGGGAGACATCGGCGTCAAAATCAGTCGTCAGGCGTTCAAGTCGCACTCCGAGTCCTGCGCAGGCGACGCTTGGAAGCGCGAGTGGCTGGAGGAGCTCCGCGGACACGTTGTCGCAGCGGGACAAGAAGCCACGCGTGGGGTGGACCGTTCTGGTCGGCCTGCATACTCAACGCGAATGCGCGCAGCAATCTCGACACGCGCTTGCTTGAACAGATCACGGAGATTGATTTGGTCAGGCTGAAAGAATCGCGCCTCGGGCACGTCGCGGGCGCAGAGGCGCATCCACGTGGACTGGCTTGGCGAGCTGCGGGAGCGGCAGCTGTTCCACCTGAGGCGGGGGGTTTGGCCACTGGCGGGCTCCTCGCGCCTTTGAAGATGGAGCGCGGCCTGGCGCCGATGCTTGGTTCTGCTGGCCATGTCCTCAGTCCTGGTCGTGCCCGCGCGCTTCATCGCGCTGCGCTGGTGCCAGGAGGCGTCGCGGCGTTGAATGCCGACCTGCAGAGTGGGGCCGGGATGAACCTGACCAGCTGCAACAATCTGCAGGCGATTGCCAAACGGGCGCGCGCGCGCGGCAGGCCGCGCATCGCGTGGGCGCGGCAGGCCTCGCATCGTCGGAGGCGACTTCAATTGCGAGCGTGCTGAAGTTGAGACTTGTGGTGCGATGCGGTTCATCCGGGCCCAGCTGGCCGGCGCCCTGGATGCTGCGCGTGCCCAACCGGGCAGGGCGATCGACTTCTTCATCGCGTCGGCGGGGCTCGAGTTTCAGTCGATCGGCGCGGCGCCTGGGTCGCCAGTCTGGCAGCGCCAGCCCGACACCATCAAGCTCGCGGCCTCGAGGGGGACTTCCCCTCGAGCGCAACCTCATGGCTGCGCCCGGCTTGACCGCGGCAGCGCGCGGGCCCAGCTAGCCAGTCGCCTACAGGATCTGTTTGGCGGGCCTCAGCAGCATATGGACTTGGCGCGGCAGTTATTCATCCGGGCCGCGGAGGCCGAGCGGTCCAAGCCCGCAGTAGCAAGCAGTCACCGACGCTGCGGTTTCTGGTGTTCTTTGGCCGCGGGCTTCCGCAGAGGCTATTTTGATGTTTCGTGTTGCGAATGTGTTGCGTGTTTCGGCGAGCGCGCAGCAGCCTCTCGATCGCCCCCATGCTCTGCGAGGACTGGGCCGGCTGTTGGCGGAGACCCCAAGTTGGTGAATGCCCATTGGCGGGGGGGCCGCATGCCTGCGCTGCGATCCTCCTGCCGAGGCGCCTGCCGCCAACCTGTGGTGGTGGGCGAACAACTGCATGCACCTTCACGCGCTGGGCCTCGGGCCTTTCGCGGAGGTTGGCGAGAAGGCTCGCGAGCAGGCCGTCAAGATGGCAGACCACGACATGCACGCGAGAGGCGCCAGGTTCAACGAGCGGGCCTTGAAGCCGTCACTTGGCGGGGGAGGAGGAGGTACGCGCGCGCTTTCGAAGGTGCCTTCTGGATCCGAGCCGAGCCTTATGATTGCCAGAGTGGTTGACGAGGATGGCCCGTGCAGCATGGGCGAGCAGCAGCTGCGCGAGCCGATGGACTTGCCTGGGGAGGTGGTCAGGCTGGGGGCTGCGCGGAGCAGGTGGTGGCGTCGCATGTGCAGCTTCGCTGGCCGAGAGATCTCGGGGGGCGCCCAGAGTAGCCCACGGTGGATCTTGGGGAGAGAGATCGGGGGGTTTCGCTGGTCGAGAGATCTTGGGGAGCTCGAGCGGGTCATGGCCACTTTTGTTGATGTGACAGGCGCATCTTTCGACGCGGTCAGCCCGGGGCAGCGCCCTGAGTTGCGCGGCGAAGGCTTGCAGGCCCTTGCCGACGTGATTGGCGAGATCGAAAGACGTGTTGCGTGGCCTAGCATGGTTGCGATGATGTGATCCATTCAGGAGGCTGGGCGTCGTCGGCCCTCTCGCACACGTCATGTCGGCTGCGCGTGTCCAAGCCAGGGTGTGCAGGGCGATCGCTGTCACTGGCAGGCATCGCGCGGTCGCAGCTGCGAACGCGCTGCGTGGCATCAGGATGCTTAGGGTGAATGGGCAATGCTCAGAGGACGAGAGAATGGTGATGAGCAAGGCTGGACTGCGGTCGCGGTGCTGCTGGAGGCGGCGCAGGAGCCTTGCTGTCCCCCAGGCAGCTGAAGCTGCAGATCGAGCTGCACGCAGCCCCGCGCGTCCTCAGCGCTGGGCCCCGCCGCTTCCGAGGAGCTCGTTGCCGCGCAGTCGGTTATTATTGGTGATGGTTTTGCGGCGACGGTGTTGAAGTTGATATGTTTTAAACCGTTGGACACGCTTGTGGCGCACGCCCCCCGCCGTGCAGGTCGCCGCCGTGCTGGGCGATACGATGGTCCATCGTGTTGGAGGCCTGGTTCGCGCCGAGCAAGAGGCGGCTGATGCTGCGTCTCGCCTTCGCACCTTGCTGATTGAGAAGGGCCCCGCCATTGCCGAATCAAAATCCAAGGTGCGTTTCAAAGTTCCACGTGATCGGCAGCTGCTGTAGCTGAAGTTGAAGAAGTCAGTGGGCAGACCTGCGTCCAAGTTTGAGTGGGGCCTGGGATTTGACTAAGCATGCGGCAAACGTATCGCCAGGCATGCGCGACGCGACAAGCTGGTGGCGGCTGGTTTTCGCATGCGGCGCATCTTTGTTTCCGTGCGCGAATCAGTGCAGAAGAAGGCTACGCGGAAGTATTCAAGGGGGGACGTCGTGCCCTCAGTCAGTTATGGGCTTGGTGTCATTGGGTGTTCTGCTGGTGAGCTCGAGCGCCCGCGTACCCTCACCTTCTCCGCAGCTGCTAACGCCACTTCTGGTCGGTCACGCACGTTAGCGTTGATGGTGGCCCCCTTTTCTGGGCCCAGTGTACCGTGCCACGCTGTTGCCTGTCATGGCGTTGCTCGGAGCAGCCTGGGAGCGATGGATTCCGCGGGATGATATTGGCTATAGCTTGCAGCGCAGTCCTAGTTGCATTTGGGCCCAGGTGCGCTGCCATTTTTCACCGGTCAAAGTGTCTCTTATGTGCGTTGGCTGGTCAGTGGTTGATGCCAGCACCCGGTGCGCCACTGAGGGCTTTCAGGTAAAGGTCTTTGAAGTGCGCTCGTGGATTGTCAAGCGTCTTCTTTGTACGGCCCACGTTCTTATGTCCGCGAGTGGACCCCTCGGCGGCTTACGGGGCCGGGGCCTTTGCCCTCGAGTCCACAGGTGCGTCTTCTTCCGCGAGTGGTTCATGCTTGGCCCCGCGTTCTCACGTCCGCGAGTGGGCCCCTTGGTGGCTGACTGAGCTGGGGGATTTGCCCTCGAGTCCTTTGGTGCGTCGGTCGGCTTCCGCGCGCGGTTCGGTCGCGGCCCAGCTACGTCTGTCACGGCGAGTGGATGTTTCAGTCGATTACGCGGCTGATCATCTTGCCCGTGGCCCAGAGCAGCCCGCTCGGAATGCTAGGCAAGCATCGGTCCTTGGCCCAGGCGACTTTCGCCCGCAGCGGTCAGTGGTGGTTCCCTGCAGGCCACGAGTTCTGATGCTGGCGCGGTATGGCAAGATGTTCGGCGCGAGTTTCGGGCGAGGTTGCTCGTGCTGCTGCTGGAAGCGCAGCTAACGCTGATGACGTCCTCGAGGATGAGCTGTTCGAGGTGGATGGTGCTCAGGAAGTTCTTCGTATTCGTGCTGACCATCGTTAGGGGCGGCCTCCTGGTGGAGCTCCTGGTCGGCTTCCCGTTCACAGACCTACCTCTGTGTCGAGGGCCTCTTTGCCCGATACTAAAAGACTTGGTCGGCGCGCCCTTTCGTCGCCATCCGCATCATGCTCGATGTGTTTTACAGCGAGAGAGAGAGGATACCTTGCGTCGCTTGTTTCAAGTGGGCAGTGGTCACAGGCCCGCAAGGACGTGTGTGGGCATGCAGCGAGCTCGCAGTGTCTCCTGCGTGGAGGGATGGCTCTCTACTCCGTCGGCGTACCGAGTGCGATGGATGGCCGGCGAAGCTCAAGCTACCCATGCCTATCAGGCGCTCGGCCAAGCGGGCCTGCCGCGAGCGTGATATACGTTGCTTGCTGGAGCCCGGCCCGACGACAATGCCTCCGGGCATCCCGGCGCCTGTGGTGCCCATTGAGTTGCGTTGGATGGGTGGTTGTGCTGATGGTCATCTCCCCTCTGGCACGCTCTACCTGGACGGGTCCGCGTACGAGGGCGACTTCGAGAAGTGCGCGAGTGTTGGTTGGGCGGCCATCGCCCTGCGTGATGGCCGCGTCTAGTTTCGCCCTGGCCTGTCGGGCGTGTTGCAGGCGCCCTTCGTCGACGCCAATAGGGGCGATATTGCAGCGTTGGCAGCAGCCTTTCGCCATGCAGTTTCCCCCGTCGCAGTGGTTGCCGACAGCTCCTTCGTGGTCGAGGGCCTGCTGGATGGGAGCCCCGAGCGGGCGGCATCGCGTGGTTTCGCGCGGGCAGATCAATGGCGCGTTATCTGGGGGCTGGCCAGCGACTTCGGAGGCATTGGGCCGCCAGGGCTTGCGGTGCCCAAAGTGCCAGCGCACGTCGGGCGCTCCAAGCTGATCGAGGGCGGCGCCACCAGCTACCGCGACTGGCTGGGCAAGGGGCTGGCCGACAGAACCGCCAAGAGTGAGCAAGCTTTGGCCGCGTGCCTGCTCGCTGTCGCGGCCAGCTTCGGGGCGCACATCAGTTGGTGGAAGGCGTTGCGTAGTGGGCGTCAGCGGTGGTGGCGGCCCTAGATGGGGCTGATGCCGCGCGTCGAGCTGCCACCCCGAACGAGAAGGCGCCGAAGGCAAACGAAGCAGTGCCAGTGCCTAAGCTCATGCACGACCTACGCGGGCCAGAAGGAGGCGAATGGTGCTCGCGCTGCCGGTGGAATAGGAGGGCCCCTGAGTGCACGGGCAGCGCGGTTGTGTTGGTGCTGAGCTACAAGGAACGCGAAGGAGACCTGAAGGCATATTTTCTTGATGTCCTCGATCCCGTTCGGGGCGCTGGTCTCGTGCACGAGTTGCCAGCGGTTGTGCGCGATGCGCGCGGTGCCACGGCAACGACCAGGCCATGCCCTTTTCAGGAAGCCCTCCCCGATGGCACCCGCGCCGAAAGGCAAAACGGTGTTGGCTCGTCTCGAGGAGCAGCTCGCGCCCCCCCGCGAAGCAGAATATCCGCATCCAGCTGAGTATATATGAGAAGGGAACTGGTGCTGCCGCGCAGGAATCGCCCGGCACGGCACCTCGATTGGGTACGTCGGCGGATCCAGAGGGTGGGCTTGCTGGCGATGTCCCCAATGACGCTGCTCCCCCGAGCGGCGCGCCTCCTGGACCTACGGCATCCACGCCCTCTGCCGAAGGCGCGGGCCAGGCCCCCGACGCCATGGGGCCACCGCCGCCGACGGTGCCCAGCGGAGCCAGGCCGGGCAGTGCCACCTGGACATGGGGCACGACTTGCGGGACTGGGCGGCCCGCGGGTTCGCGAGCGACTTGGCCCTGATCTCTGACGAGGCCACTTGGCAGGAGTAGTGGGAGGCGCTCCTAGGGGCCATGCTGCACAAGGCAGGAGCCGTCCGCTGCAGACCATGCCCATGAGCTGGTTCCTTGGGCGGCCGCTGACCTCGATCCTGGCTGATCCGCGCGCCAGTGCGCGGAGGCAGAGTGCTGGCCGGCGCGTAGCCATCCTCGTCAGGCACCACGAAGCCGAGCCTGAAGAGAGACGGCGGCTGGTTGGGGAGCATCAGCAGGAGCTGGAGGAGATCCTTGGCACGTTCAGGCGCATGCTGCCCAGCTCGCAGGTCGGCCCAGCGGCCGCGACGCGGCGGGAACTACTGGCACGGCGCCTCGGCAAAGTGCGCTGACGGAGCCAGAGGGTGGGGTTGCGGGTGCTGCCCTCGATGACGCTGCTCCCCCGTGTGGCGCGCCTTCTGGACTTGCGGGTCCCGCGCCCTCCGCCGCGGGTGCTAGTAGCCAGGGCCAGGCGTGGCGGAGACGAGGCGTGCTCTACCATGGCAGGGTGTGTTGGCGGCTTCCGAGGGCGGGCTTGCGGATGGTGCGCCCAATGACGTCGCTCGCCCATCGAGCGGCGCGCCTTCGGAAGCTACGGGTCCCGCGCCTTCTGCCGCGGGCAGGCGTCGCGTGCCATCTTTTGAGGACGAGCCCCTCGACGCCCTGGATGAGGCGGCCGTTGTGGTGCCCGTGGGCCCTCCGTGCGCCCTCGGCGTGCTGGTGGGGAAGCGTGCCGTTCCTGGAGGGGCAGCGTGGGTGGGTCTGCGGTGGCCTGGAGGGGCGGCGCGTTGGGCAGCTCTCCGAGCACCCTACAGCTCCGCCAGCCCCGCCCCGGAGCCAGGGGCAGCCACGCGACCGCTCCACGTGGTGGAGTGGCGACCAGGCGTTCGAGGGCCAGGGCATGGACGACGGGATGCTGCAGCGGCCAGCGTGGTCTCTCGTGTCGCTGCGAGCGGGCCCCTCGGCGGTCGACGGAGCCGGGGCCCTCGCCCGCGAGTCCGCGCGCGCGCGTCGGCTTCCGCGCACGGTTCGAGGGCGGCTCCGATTCGTATGCCGCGCGGCGATGGGACCCTCAGCGGGTGATGGGGCTGGGGCCTCCGCCCGCGAGTCCACGTGCACG